GGTTCCAGACAGACGATTGATATTCAAGCGATATCAAATAGATGCGACTGACAATCTACTTAAATGATTAGCCGACTTTTTTACAAACAGGCGTCAGTATGTTTATATTGATGATGCCAGATTGGAATTAAAAACAGTTTCCGATGGGGTTCCGCAGGGAAGCTTTCTGGGTCTCATGTGAACAACTGCCTTAATTGCCTCGTCTATGAGAAAGTAATGATTGCTGATTATCTGAGATTATGAAATTCAAGTAACATGGATCGCTGGCAAAACCGGTGTGATGAGTGGCTACTTAACCTAACCTTCAACAACTGACACGTCATCCGACTGCGTTCAAGTTACGGGAGGATTATACGATTTGAACACGAATATTTCATCGGGGGTCACTGGCTCGACCAAGTAAAGGAGGCAACGGATCTAGGCATGTACATGACGCCCACTGTCAAACCATAGACTCACTGTACTAAAATTGCAAAGAAGGCCATGGACATCGTGGAAGCGAATAGGAATTCCTTGCTCAATTTTGACGAGGAGCCATTTGGTCGGCTGGTGTTCGGATTTTTTCGTTCAGGTGTAATACCCTTACGTGGAGCGAGATTATGCCCTGTTAGAGGCAGTTCAGCTAAGCCTGATAAAGCTAGTTAGAGGATAGGAATGTCTACCACACGAGAGCAGACTATGAAGACTCAAAAGTTTTCATTTCCCTAATAGACTCTACAGAGTAGATGTTGTCATGTTTTTCAAACTCGTCGGAGGAGTAGACTGTGCTCTTTGTCTAGCAGATTTTTCGAATAGGCAAAAACGACGAATCTCCGAGCTAACCAATACAAACTAAAGAAACATTATATCAGAATTGAAGTGTGGGCCAAATTATCTCCCCGTCGGATGACTGAAGACTGGAACAAAAAACTACCGTCTTCGGTTGTTTTTTATGAAGGTGTGGGAACATCTCAAGGAAGAACTGCTGAAACCTTAATTTATGGCCAGTTATGGTAGACATCAATGATTGATATAATGCACACGTAGCACTCTGTAACTGATGCAGGCTTTGCTAGAATTTAGCTGCAAATAGTGTTTTCAGGGGCTCTGTCCAAGTCCATTAATTAAAAGACAACAAGTTGACACTCAGGCGGATTTGCCTGTGTGGATTTCTTCTTCAATGAGACCATCATTTAAATGCCCAAAGGCAGCGAGGGCGGCCCTGTCTATATTGTAACTCATTAGGCTAATCTTTATGGGGCTTGAAAAATACAGCTACGTGTAGCTGCATCTAGAATACGCCATACAGCGATTGAGACCTTGGACTATCAACTGCCTCACGTTCGTAGAGACGGTGCAGAGGC